CTTCAAGAACAGGAAGCATCGAGATGAATGTATTTTGCCTGTAGGTAATGGCTGGATAGCAGGGATAATTTTCCGTTGGAGCAGGGTGTATTCTTCTTACATTTTCTTCTTATATTTCTCTTTAGTTCCAGAGACCAAGGGAATTTGAGTCCTGACTCTACTACCACTTAATAGCTACGCGACTGAATTTATTTTTGGAGAAGCATTGCTAGTCCCTAGTGAAAAATACATTTTGTGCAGAGTTACATGTAGACATAAGTGATGCACATGATATTCACACAGTGAGTCAGAAAGATACAAAGTGGTATCATTTACATTACTAGAAAATTACTAATTTTACAGTGGCAACAGCTCGTGTATGAGAGAGTTAGTCCACCGGATAGCCAGGGACCACACCTTGTGTAAGGTGGATACATGTAAAGTTAATATTTGATATATGTTCTTGTAGTGGGAATCCATTCCTAACAGCATCATAAAGCATGTGGGAGAGGTGCTTAACTTTATCCTCCTAAAACTAACATGTAAGTCAGCCCACTGAGAGTCAAGCAGCTCCGAGGGGCCGTGTGTGGCTAGAAGCTTGTAAAACAGGTTGAGAACTCCTTCTGTATATAGTCTTCCTTCACAGAAGCTTTAATTTAGAAGGAACCTGACAAGTCACAGGTCGAGCCTCAGTGATATGGCCCTTCCTTTTGGTGGTAGCATACAATTTTTACTTTTTACTTGCTCCTGAGATGCACTATCCTTAAAACCATTCTCTCCCCTGCTAACAAAAGGGCAAATTTAGTTTACTTTGAGCACTAAGATTTGTGCTTCTGGAATTCTGTGCTCCAGTTACTTAACTTTGTCTTAAGGGTACATGTGGGAAGATAAAAAAGTAAACATCTCTCCAGTTTCCAGTTTCTCACCTGTGGTCCCTTAAACAAAATGGTTATTTCAAGATTGTTTTTCCCCCATAATAAGGTGGAGAGAGAAGCACTCAACATTGTTTGACTGCCTTCTGCATTCTTTGGTATGAGTGGAAAGTGTGCAGTTGGTGGCTTTTTTTTCTGTCTGTTTTCTGGACAGTAAGAGACTTGCTTGCTGTGCTTCTGCTCAGTGCTGTGTTGGGTCTGCACAGCTGTCCACAGGGCTACCTGGTTGTGAGCACAGTCCACTGGCCGTGCTGCACCAGTCCTTCCCTGGTGCATGTGACTGAGGAGGACGAAGGTTCTATTAGGCGTTACTGCTTTTGCTCAGACTTTGGGAAGAAAAAGGATACATATATATATATATATATAT